CGATATTAAATCGCGTGACGCGCGGAAGAAATCGACGAAGCTCGAGTTGAAATAAAATTAAAAAAGATGCATTAAAGAAATCTCGAGCTATGCAACTCTTATCTGATAAACTTATCCTCCAAAAAATATTCAAAATTTTGTTCTTCGAACGATCAGGTTACCTCAACTCATATTTTTCCTTAATCATCCTCTTCGTTCTTCCTTTTTTTTATCGCCGCCCTCAAAATACAATCCTCCGTTTCACGCAATTACGTATCGATTCCCCAAGTAGACGAGTGAACATCTCTACCGGTCATTGTTTTCTTTTTTTTTTTAATTGTTGCAGGTCTGTTGTTTCATCGCAGCGTTCTAATGTCTGGCAGCGCGCTTTCACCGTGGGCGCTCGTGAGAGGAGCCGCAAATTACGCTCTGCAAGTTGCCAAACATCTAAATTGCTCGTGGGTGAGTATTGCCCGGAGTGCATTACATTAAGGTCTCCGGTTCGACGACAACTCCGAAGCAAATAAACCGCCGTCAGACACTCCCCGTGAGAGAAACAATTCTCCCTCTCTTCCTCTCTCTATCTATCTATCTATCTATCTATCTATCTCTTCCTATAGTTTTCTCCCTTTCTACGCGCGCACGTGTTACCACCGTGTTGCTTTCGCAAAGATTTTTAAAAAATCCTTTCCACTGTATGGAAGTAGGTTACTTGGGGAGAAATTATTTTATCATTAAAGGAGATAAACCGTGTAGGAACGGGATAAAGGTGAGAGAGGGATGAAGAGAGATCGAGCAAATATTTTTCGGATGACTGAATAACTATTTATCGAATACGTCAATCCTGCGTTTTATTTATTTTATATATATAGCCAGACGTGCGCATGAATTTCATATACGTATTATATTTCCGTGGAAATTTTTTTCGACGAAAATCAATATTTAAACTTCAAAAGTTAACAATCTGCGTAGGGATTTACGATAATGTTACAACAAATGCTGCTCCATGCGTTCGGGGATATTTATATTTGGCGAGACGTTTGTGAAAAACCGTTCGAAAAAAAAAAGAAAGAAAGAAAGAAAGAATAGAGGGAAATCTAGAAATAAAAGGACACGACGGGGGAAGAGAGAGACAAAGAAGAAGCAGGAGCAGACAATTGGATGGTATCGGACGCGCGCTAACAGTGATTAGAACAAAAGCGCACAAGGGACGTTGGAGCGCGAAAAAATAGGGGGATCGAAATGCGAAACGTTGGCTATACACGCCACGGCAATCGAGGTACACGAAGGAAAACATTTTGTCGAAAAATAGGGCATCGTCGGACATTATTTTCGCCCGTGTATCGCGGCTACGTTTAATTGCATTGGACGGGGCAGGATATTTTTCGAGTATCGAGATGCGTGCAACGTTGCGACGTTCTCGCGAGAGGGGGAGTCGCGCCATCTATCCCGCGCATATTAGCTTAATTGAAACGCATCGTTAATATAATTGCCGATGCGTAATCAACGGACGTGAAAACACACTCGCGTTCGATAGTTTAATTCATATCCGGCCGATCGCGTCCGACCGCTTTCGTTTTCAACTTTCGTTTCGTCTCCCGTGAGTGAATTTCTATCTAATGCGAGTCGAAGTGTCGTTCGAGGCTTGTTTTCGATTCGAAGAAATTAGAAATTGATCGTGCAAGGCGTTCGAAAACTCCGTTAATAATAATAACTTTTCGAGAATAAAGAATGACGGGATTGTTGCTGATTCGAGAAAATATCCGAATCGAGTTCCGATCGGTATGTGATTTCGAAAATTTTCAACCGGATCTAACTCGAGATCGCGGGGGAAGGGGGCTGTGCGCGAAGGTAAAAAAAAGAATCGAGATTCGATCGTACGATGTCAAGAGGCAATACGAAAAGCGCCACGACTACTCGTACGTGCCCACTTCTCTGCTCCCCTCCTCCTCCTCCTCCTCCCCCTCCCCTCCTGTTGAAGGTACACGTTCCAGATAGGGCTACCTAAACAGGCTCTCCATTTTCAACCGATTGAAAATAACGATTAAACGCGGAATCGGGCTAAGTGCGGACCCAATTGTTTCCCGGACCGAATTCTCCACCCTCTGGAACCGGCGGATATCCCGTTTGTCAAGAGGCGGAAACGAGAGAGGGAGAGAGAAAAGAAAAGCAAAGCGATCGAAATGGAAAACGGGATTGTGTCGTGCGAGCCGCGAACCACAGAAATTGATCGAATTTGTTACGGGAGAAAAATGACGAAATTAATTATTTCAGCGATCGGATTTGCGTTCGAATTCGAGCAATTCGAAACTTGGCGTTTTTCGTCGCAAGAAGAAGGGAAACGTGATCGAGATCGAATAAATCGAAAATAAATCGAGGATCTGTTTCGTTTCACGCGTCGTCTTCGAAATCACGACGAGAAAAATAGCGAGGCCGCCCTGTAAATTTATCGCGTAAATATTATTAAATTCGAAAGAAATCTCGTTCTTCGATCTCACTGCGTTCTTCTCAGATCAGACGAACGCGAAAAAGAAGAAGAGAGAGAGAGAGAGAGAGAGAGAGAGACCTCTGTCAGTCTAATTTTACGGTTTAGCTGCGCGAGAGTGTGTGCTAGGGCTGGGGGCGAAGGGAAACCAATCACGGAGCGAGAAACGAGGCCGTGGCACGCTTCAACCCCCAAAAATTCCCCGGCGAAATTGTCAAGCCCTCCCCCCTCGACTCTCGCCCTTCTCCTCGGCCGCCGAAAATTGGAAACTCCTCCGCGAAATCGACGTTTCCGGCCAGCACTCCGCCATATTAGGGCGTCGATTAAATTCGTTAAAGCAACGAATCGATGCTACCGCGCCCAAGATTGACGAAACGGCGCGCCCCTCCCCTCCGAAATTTCCTCGACACACAGCTACGATCGACATTCGATTGCGGCTAGCCTACCACGAGGTCTGCCTCGAGCGGAATTTCCAAAGGCGATTACAGGGCCCTGCTGCTAGTCGCTAAAGCGATTCATTTGCGCGTGGCCGAATTAAAGCGAATCGGTGCATCGTCATTACGTTCACGGTTAACAGAATTCGCGTTTACCAATCGCTGATTCATCTTATATTGGAAACGTCTGCGTTTGTAACTCGCCAAAACCGTTATACGCTTTTGTGCTACGAAATATATTATACAATTTAATCGTTATTATATATCGGTTCTTCTCGAATCTTAAGTAACGCGCCAATATTCTTTTTCGATTTTTTTCTTTACCACGGACGAAGTACAGAATACGAACGTTTATTGTAATCGTATGCGTGTATAATATCGAGTAATAAATATATATATATATATATATCTGATTAATAAACGAACGAGATATCGTTATTGTTTAATTGATTATTGGTTGATGATGAATCTTGGTTGATGATAAATGTTAAGAATAAATTATTTCTATTACCTTATTAATTTCGTTAATACGTCGCGCTCCGATGTATCTGCGTCGAAAGTCGAGCACGGAATGCTTTTACGTTAGAGGTCGTCGCCGTAACTGTTACGAAACTCGACGTATACGTACGACCGCGTATATATAAACACACGCGATATTTGTCGATCGCACAACGACGAATAACTGGAATATTTTTAATTTTAATTTGTATATTGCAATGATTCGTTGTGTAATAATAAATGTAATAATATATATTTACAAATTGAACGCGAATTTAAATATTTACGATATTTAATTTTCGATATTGTTACAGTTGTTAAAATATTCCAAATGCCGTTCCAAATTCAATCGAAATAATAATCAATGAATAATAAATAATAGAAAATGCAAAAGAACAGAGGGAATTTCTATACGTATTTCGATACGTATAAATCTTTCGATCGTTTTATTCTTTTATCGGAGAATTTTGGAGAATCTATGATAAAAAAAAAAATACATTTTATATTATTCTATGCGTCGTTCGTCTACCTTACGATTCATATGCTAGTGCGCGCAAGCCATTTTAAATTTCCATTGAAAAGAAAAGAAAGAAAGAAGAAAAAAAAACTCACGTGGATTATTTGTCCAGGCCGCAAGTGATTCTCAAGCGTTGCTCAGGTGTCTGAGAGAGGTGCCATTGAACGCGCTGGTTTCCGTACCCGTGAAAGGATTGGAATTCGCGCCCGCCTTTGGACCCAGCGTGGACGGAGTTGTGATTGATCCAGGAGATCCAGAGGATCAGGATTTCACCCTGCAAGTGGACACGATCAATACGTTGAACAACATTTTACTACGGAAGGACGTCGTAGCGAAACTCTCGAGGTACTCTTCTTACACCCCTTATGATCCTACCCCTCGTGTACTTTCACTCTTAATTCCTTCGTTCCGTCTCGTTACACGAGGAATTTCTCCCTCTTTCGGCAGTACTTGAACACTTTAAACGAGAAAATCGAGGAATTGAAAGCGAAAAAGCGAATCGTGAAATATTTTAGCAATAAAGGACGAGAGGAGAGATGGTCAAATTTTATAGCTTATATGAATTTCAATCTCGATGAAATAGCACGATAAACGCTAATGAAAATCCTTTTATGATTCTCTGATATGATACACTTACGAAATTTATAGACTAGGTTCCCTTTCTTTTCTTTTTTTTTTTTTTTTATTACGAGTTTCAATTCACTCGATTAATTCTTCTTCAAAATTGTCGTTAAAAGTCATCGAAATGCTTTCCTTCGATATTATACGGAGAACAAAATCGAAGCTTCACAGGCGGAATATCACTTGGAATTCAGAAGGAACCGAGTGTCTATTAATTTTAACGAGGAAAAAAGTTCGAAATTTATTATCAAATATACGATACAACAATCGTATTATATCGTAGATAGAATTGAAATGAAACAGTGATCTCGTTACGTTGGTTAAACGGGATTGCTAATTGAGAAAATTCGCAAGAGAAAAGTAAAAATGATAATTTCTCTTATTCGGCACGTGAATTGTGGCCAACAATTCACGACTCGTCTTTCTTTCCTTTCCCCTCGTTCTTCTTCGCACGTGCTTCACGTTTCTCATCTTCTCCTTTTTTCCTTCTTTTTCCCGTTTGCGCTCGTTTTACCTCGTGACATCTCGCTGTCTTGGCAAATCTCTGCCTCTTTTTATTTCCCCTCTTTCCCTTGATCACTCTCTCGCTCCGCTCCTCTTTTTATCTCTACTTTGAACTATCTACTCCTTCTTGTTTGCTTGTCACCAGCTTGTCCACCCTGTGCCCTCTCTCGCTCCTTCAAATATCTTAGTTCCTTTTCCTTGAAAAGGAAATATCTTTCCGAGTTTAAACTCGGTGCTCGGCTTTTGATCTCGTTAATTTACACGCGATGCGAATTTTAATTCGAATTCATGCTCAAGTAACTCGAATAAAAAAAATCGATTCCAATTATCCGCGGATATCCTTCGATCCCATCTTTCGAGAATTTAGATCATTTTTCCCATTTCGTGAACTTTTTCTCAATTCTCCCTCGTTCGAAAAATCAATATTTTTACCACATACAAGTAACATACGCGTCACAAATTTTCTTTAAATTCGATTGATTCGAAAGTCCACTCCGCTCGATACTCATTTTACACGGCTTAAATAAATTTTCCACTCCTTTAATCTTTCATCTTCTCGTTTGCCTTCGATCACCTAGTAATCTCGTAAAAAAAAAAAAAAATTCGGTTTCCTAATTTTCCCCTAAACCACTCGTTTCTATTCATCTTCCGTCCACGATTCCGCGATCCACGCTATTCTTTTCTCACCCACGCAACGCGTTTAAGTACAGTATTTTTAATTACACGAGTTTCCTCTTGCAAGTTGTCACGAGACCTCTTCCCCCCTCCCGGCCTCTCTCCCTTTGTCCCATCGTTCCGTCCAGTCAAAACGTTGTTCCGCCCTGGCTCAAGTAATTTAACAATTGCATCGCCGGCCAACAACGGTGTTTATGCAGGGTGAACCGCCACGGGAAAATGTTTTCTCGCTCGTCTGTTTGTGCTCGCTCGCACAAAGGCTCGCGCCACGACGGCGAATAACGAAATAACTGCGGGGGAAGCTAAGCGTGGCTTGATTCCATGAGTATTGGTTCGCGAGGCTGGCGACGATGGCTGATTGCTGAGAAAAAGAGAAAAAGAAAAGAAAAAGATCGATCGCGCGAAAAAGAAGTTGAAAGAAACGATGAAAGAAAAGTGTCGAAGCAAGACGTTAATATTTGTTTGACTTCTTTTATGATTCGTTGGAAAAAATTTGGTTGGTTCTTTTGTTCGAATTTTTTTTTTTTTTCTAATCGTTTGAGGATCGTTTTATATATTTTTAAATGGTATTCGATATATATATATTCTCCCTCTTTTTCCTTTCAAGAACCTCAAAAGTAGGGAAGAACAGTTTTTGATTACAGTTTTGACTGCGGATACGTCGTATTTTATCTAATATAATCTGAAATCAAACATCGAAGCACGTAATGTAATTTATTATTCGCCAGTCCGGTAATTGGGAATTAAAATTAAATTTTGATTGCGACTACAAAACGCGCGGTCCTATTTAATCCTCGCTATCCTACGAGGCTGGCTCGAAATTAAAGCAAGAGGTCGACTAATATAAGTACATAATTTACATAATGGCAGAGAAGCCATTCGAAATAATATGTAATGAAAAAAAGAAAAAATTCGAATCCCCTCCGACCATCTCTCGATCTCTCTCGTTTAAAAATAATTCAAATCAACGGGAATAATCGATCGAGCAAAAAATTTAAAAGTTGCGATCTCGAAATCTATCAACCGGAATTGAAAAAAAAAAGAAGAAAAAGAAAAGTCCCAGGGAAATCCCCGGCATCATCGAATTTCCCTCATCAACCGGTTTCCCCGCCGGTTTCCCCCCCTTTGTCGCGATCGTTCTTTGTCCGCCTTTGTCGCCGCATTTCTTTCCGTGCCTTTCGTTCTTTCCGCCCGTGTTCCATTCCGCCTTCCCTTCGTTCCACCCTTCGCTCCTTCAACCTCCTCTCTCGCCCCGCGATAAATAAACGGTGTTGGGAGGGGTGTTTTACGCCGGCAGACGCGTAACGACGACTTTAAAGGGAATGGAAAATCGTTGGAAGCCGCGTTTCTTTGCCTCCGCGTTCCTCTCAATGCAGTTGAATATCCCCGGTTCACTGGAAACGCTCTCAATGCTTCGAGTTAATTTGTCTCGAATAAAGAATCTCTCTCATCCTCCTCCTCTCTTTCTCCCTATCTGTCCGTCTATTTATTTCCATCTTCATTTCCTTCCTTCCATCGTTGAGCGGAGGGGCGGGTAGAGGCATGCGTGTAATTATGTTGCAAGTTAATGAAGAGCGGGATCGAGTTTCGGAGGGGAAAAGTGAGCGAGCGGGTTACGTACAATGCTACGTTTCCACCGACGAATTAAATAAATACGGATCTTCTTTCTCGGGTGGAAGGACGAGTATAGTATACATTTTGCTCGATCGATCTGAGGCTGATAATACTCGCAATTAAAAAAAATTTTTGCGTACGTCGTTCCCCGATAAAATTATTTGAAAATGTTGGCAATTATATACGAAAATTATATTATTTTTAATAGAGGAAGAGCCGTTCCTATTGCAAGAAGTTTCTCCCTATATTTTCGAAGGCTCCTCGTCGGTAATTCGCGCGAGAGGCAGATTTTCGAATTTGCACGCGTATTTACCACTGTGAAATATTTGCCTCGTCATTTCTGTTCAAAATGATACGTAAACACGAGTAATCCCGGTTAATGAGGCAAAATTGTTTACATCATTATGATAGTGAAATGCCATTAAATTGTATGTAAATTAATACAGCGAACGAAGTTATATATTTCCGTGTTGGTGAATGAAAACTTTCGAAAAGAAAGGAAGAAAAAAGAAAAAGAAACATTCGCTCGAAGCGCGAATGCTGTCAAGGAAATCAAATAAGTTTAAGCTTAACAAGATAATTTCGATAATTAAATTTGTTTCTCCGAATTGATAGCTTGAGTTAAAATTTAATCAATAATTATTCCTTGACGAACGAAGGAATATCCGACATCGAAATCATTTCGAAAACTTCATAAACGTTTCTTTTTCCTCTCTTAGGAAAAAGTGTTTGTTTAAGTTTAATCTTTATATCTTTCTCCAAATTGTTCCTTTTTTCACCGTCGATCGCTTCGAATCAAGTAAAATGTAAGTAAAATGAGCATCCATCGAGAAATTTAACCAATTTCAATAACAAAAAGGGAATCTCTTCTCGGAAAGAACTACTTTGATTCAATCATCTTCGCCACGCTGTTCTATTTACTCTCGCTAATAGGTCCAAACATATTCCATAGCTCGATCGATCTCTCTCTGGATAACAATTTGACGACAGAGATTTTCCATTTTACTTCACAGGTACGATTTGATGATTGGCGTGGTCCGATCGGAGGCGTATTTCGCTTTAACAGCGGATGACGCGCAATACGGGATCGAGGCTGATAGAAGAACGAAAATCCTGAGGGAATTCGTGCGTAACACGTACACGTATCATCAAGCGGAGATCTTGGCGACGATAATCAACGAGTACACCGACTGGGAACGGCCTGTGCAACATCCGGTCAACATAAAGTGAGCGCAAACATTAAACTATGCTTTCTTCTCCCTTCCCCTCTTCTTCTCGGATGCAATTTCTCGTTAAATCGTAATATCTTCCTCTCTAAAACTCGTGTCATTCTCGATTCACAATGGGCGGACCAAGGAATATAAAAGTAATCCGTTGCACAATCTCAGATCCGCTTCAATTGCCTTTTCGTTCACTTTTGTGGAAGGAGTTTCACTTTTTTCCCCCATGATATGATCGAAAGAAAGAAAGAAAGAAGAAAAGGATCGTTGTTGATCAACGTTACAATTTTAAATGTATATCATAAATATAATTTCTCAAATATAATACACGCATCTCGAAATAATTTATTCTTCCAGAGACGAAACCTTGGAAGCCTTAGGGGATGCGAACACGGTGGCACCGGCTACGAGAACGGCAGATCTTCACAGCCAATCCCGTCGAAACTCGTATTTGTACGTATTCGACTATCAGTCGAAGTTCGGCGACTATCCTCAGGTACGTTCCCAACTCAAGTTTTTCATCCTCGAATGACGGAGACGCGCGTGCGTATGGAGGGAAGAAAGAAAAAAGGAAAAAATTGGAGAGTCAAGGATGAACAGGGTATAGGATAGCAAAATGGTAGCGTAATGCAATCAGGGAGGCGGTCATTAACCCAGATCTCGCATATTTTATTACTAACGATGATACATCGCGCTATTTCTTCCCTCCTCGTTCCCTCCTCGTTCATTCAAATTTAAATCCCATTCTTCTTTCCCCGCGCATCCGTTTTCACCACTGACGTTTCGTAGTTCACCTATGCAAAATGAAAGTTCCATTGTAGATGCGTATATGTGTGCATACACAGCGTGGGTACGCAGCAAGTATGAAACTTAGAAAAAAATTGCCAGTAAATGTGGCGAGTGAAATCGTAGATCGATAAATCCTGTGTAAATCAACCAGTGTAAAACCAGTTTCCCAGTTTCGTGATGCGAATCTCATTAATTATTTATTTATTGTTCAAATGAAGAATGGAATAAATATAAATTTAGAATTATTATAAAGACTTGCACGATGGTATTGGAAAATGTATACGATTGAAAATAAATTTCGCGAAATTAATTGGTAGAGTAAAGTAAAATTAATTAGTCGGTCGAATTGTTTTATTTGGTAAGACTTTTTCTTCAACTCTAACCGCTAAATTTGCACGCTATTCGTTTCACGTTGTTGGTGATAAGGTAAGAAGCAAGAAATCGCGAGATAACACGATTCCTTAACTTAATTTTTTTTATTTGAGAAACGGAAGAAGAAACAGGAAGTTTAAAAAAGAAATTTGCATGATTTTGCATCCTATTTTGAAACGGGAAACGTCAACTTTTCTTTTGTAATCGTGGTTTCGTGTTTCTTCCAGACAGAGAGTTCGTTTATTATCATAAGCACAAGACTGACGGGCGTATAATAAATAAATGAGGTAAAATTTATCATTTCCGCTTATATCGAGCAATTTTTTGATACACATTTCCATTACTGGCAGATATCATAAAATCTATCGATAAAAGAGATGAATTTTTTTCTTTTTTTATTTCGAAAACGAACGAATGTATTTTATTTTCATATTTCTAAAAGATAATGAAAAGGAGATGTTGCAATACTTATACTAATGAGAAACGGATATACGGAATATGCAATTGTTTCTTTAAAATCGTTTTCATACAAATATTAACGTAACGTAGAAAAGAATAAAAGAATTTTATTATATCCTCTCGTGGCTGTCATATAAAATTTATTTACAAAGTTACAATATATTCTAGAAAACATTACATATTTAGAAAACGTTAAGAATATCTATATTATTAGAACTTCTAATGAGATCAAAATTGCACTTTTTATATATAGTTTTTAAGTTTCAGTTACATATTAAAATTCAAAAAATGTAACAGGTGATTAAAAAAGAATAGAAACAGTGAATTTTTAAACTAAAATTATACGTATAACGTATTTGAAACGTAGAGAAATTCGAATACAGAAAAATTTTCCATTTCAGCGGAGAGAGAGATTGAAATAATTGTAATAATTATGAAAGAAGAAATTTCGGGATATTATATTACACAAATTATATAGGATATTTTTCCCTTGATTAACAAAAATAGAGATGAAAAATCAGTTGAAAAATTAAAGAGGAGAATACTATACTCTCGAGAAGAAAAATGTAATAACACGTGAACTTTCTTGGTTGAACGAGGATAGAAATCCTATTGCAAAATTGTCTCGAATTCTTGAAACGTTCTAATACCGTTTCGACTTTTTCCCTCCACAAAAACGTACTTCGTCTTCCTACGTCTAAACTTTTTAAAATATCATCGAAAATTTTCCATCCGAAAAGAAATTCCCGCAAAATTTATCGAACCATTTTCGTTCTCTTTCATTCCCCATATTGAATAAAATTCAGAATAACTCGATCGATTTCACAAATTATATTCACAACGACAATGTTACATCTCACTTCTCTATTAAAACTTTACATCCTTTTACCATCACTCGAAAGTAGAACAATTCTTTTCTCCAAAATTTCTTCTAAACCAACTTCAAAAAAATCCCTCGTTCCCAATAAAATTAAGAATCCATAGAATAATTCTATCAGTTCCACAAAAACCACCACTTATATCTAACCTCTACAACTTCTATATCCTTCGACCACCACCATTCGAATACAATCTAATAAAAACCCTTTCTGAAAAATCGAAACTCAAATCCAGACTCTTCCTCCTCCATTTTCGTAATTCCATCGGAAAAAGAAAATCAACGATACGTAGAATAATCGATCTCGATAACCCCCATCCGATTCCTGAAAACTCTCACTCTTATTCCTTCTTTTCTTCTTCCTCTTACTCGACGACAGGGGGAATGGAACTTTCCAACTGTGGGGGAGGGCTACCGATATTTCCCAAGCACGATTGTTATTATTATCATCATTATTACCATTACCGCGTGCGGCACGTGTACGTTGCAGCGTGGCATCTTGTATCTTGGACGCGTGGCGCATCCGCGCCAGGAAGCGGATCCGCGCAGGAAGGGGAAATTGTAAAATTACGGCGACGCGCGTCACACACGTTAGGAAACTCCGGCCGTTTTCCGCTCGGAGTTTCGCCTCGCCGCGGATACACGTATCATCAACCTACGTCCTGACTTAACCGCCACCGATAATTTCCTGGACAATTACGGAGGAGAGGGGAGAGGGAAGGAGGAGGGGGACGTCGTTATTTAAATGGGGGACGAAGGGGAAAAAGGGAAACGGATCTCGATATCGGCGGCGTTAATTGCGGCGAGAAGCCGGGCGACGATGAAATTAATTTCATCGAGCCCGAGATCTCCGTGGTGTTTCGACGGAGGAAGAAACGACTTCCGGAAAATTGGGAGGGGAGGAGTGGGAGGATGGTAACGAAAATGGAATGGAAAATCGCTTCGCGTAATGCCGTGTACAGTCCATTGTCGAGGTGAGATACATTGTGAATTATTACAATGTATTGAACGTTTCGTTCGAACGGCGGGGGGAGGAACCCCGATTCTCGTTGGTTCTGTACGTGGTGGGATCGAATAATCGGTGTCGGTCGAGTTGGTTTTTCTTTTTTTTTTTTTTTTTTTTCTTTTTTCCGAACGAATAATTATTTCATTCGATCGGAAGAAATTGAATTTTGTAAATAAAGGATCGATCGATTAAGCGTGGATTCATTTGTCACTTTTTTAAAGATAAAGGTGAAAATGAAACGTTTTGGAATCTTTTATTATCGAGCAATTGCTTTCGTTTAAAAGTGATTTGCGATACGATCCTCGAGAAAAGAAAGAAGAAAATAATAATCCTTCTCCATGAATTATTATCATCGAAAATAAAAAATCATTACAGTATCGTTCGTAAAATAAAACTGACTTTAAAAAAAGGAACGATAAGGAAAATGAATAAATGTAGATCGAATGCATGGAAAGTGGCGCGCGAGTAGAAAAGGGGCGCATTGGTCGGACGGAGCTGGATTCTACGCGAGTATTGAAATATACGTATTATATATACATGTAAGAAAAAATTCATGACGATTGGATTGAACGAAATTGTTAAACGAAACGTGTTCATACGAATGTAACGCGAGAGAACGGTTAAAAAAGTAGAATCGAAATTCAATAGAAGCGTGCGGCCGTTATTCATTACGATGACGGATCCCCCCCCTCTCCCCAATACTCTCATGGGTTTCGTTTCTGGTAAACGCGAAAGGGGGGAAAAAGGGGAGGGGGAGAGGGAGAGTTACGAGCGGGAAAAGATTAATATTCAACGAAATCGGCTCGAAATCCGTTACATCCGTTATTAGAGCTTCTACTAGATTCGATTCGATCCATCATTCGATCCAGCGTTACACACCCGCTAGGGAGGATCGTTTCCACCGAGGGGATCGTTCGAATAATTTAAAAAAAAAAAGAGAGAGAGAGAGAGAGAGAAGAAAGGAAGGGGAAAAAGAAGTAA